ACATACCGTATTTTTCTGTTTATAAGATGCATCCCCACTTTTCTAACCCAAAAATTAAGAAAACTTAGATTTGAGTATTCAGCCTCCGGGCTCAGAAAGCTCGGACATTACATGTCCCTGATCTGAGTATTCAGCCTCCGGGCTCAGAAAGCTTGGACATTACATGTCAGGCTCCACCTGCAATGAGGTGTGTTCCAATTGGTTTGTTCAGCATCAGCTGATGTCAGTTTCATAAGGTCTGTGATTAGAGAAAGCTAAGTCTCCTGACTGTAGGAAGCTAAGCCTCGTGATTGAAGGAAGCCTGTTTGCAGAGGCAAAATATGGGCAGTTTTGTTCTCTCCTCAGCTTACCTCTGTGTATAAGATGGCCCTCAATTTTTACTTTAATGATTTTAGGAAAAAGTAGTGTCTTATACACGGAACAATAAGGTAAATAGAGTCCTGGTGGATCAGACCAAAAGCCTACCTGTTCTAGTTTTCTCTTTATAGAGTGGCCAACCAGTTGCCTACTGAGAAGCCTATAGAAAACACAATAGCATTGTCTTGCTTATGCTGCCAGGCAATTGAAACAGACAGCCATACTGTCTGCTACTGGGGAGAGTATATATCCACTATGATTGCGTAATTGAAAATAGAGCTATCAGTGGTACCTATCTCCTCCTCCAGTGGTCCAAGCAGCTACCACTACTTTTTGTGACAAACAATTCCAGATTAACTATGAATTGTATGAAAAAGTACTTCCATTTATCTGTTCCAACATTTAGCTTTTGTTGATGGAAGGACAGATCCTGAAGCTGAGGCTCCAATACTTTGGCCATCTCATGAGAAGAGAAGACTCCTTGGAAAAGACCCTGATGTTGGGAAAGTGTGAAGGCAAGAGGAGAAGGGAACGACAGAGGACGAGATAGTTGGACAGTGTCATTGAAGCCACCAACTTGAATTTGACCCAACTCCAGGAGGCAGTGGAAGACAGGAGGGCCTGGCATGCTCTGGTCCATGGGATCACGAAGAGTCGGACACGACTTAATGACTAAACAACAACAAAAGCAAAGATGGCTCACGGCTGGCTGAGCTGACACTAAGCCAGTTGAGGTTGTGTGAATCCAAACTCATTAGGGATCAGTAGTTTGGAGACCCCTGCTGATCTATCCATATGTAACTAAAGTAATAATCACTTAGTTACTAATGTATTATTGTAATGTAGTCTATGTATGTGGAGGGAAATTTGAGCTGATCCAGAATGCAATAGCTATCATAGGTTGTTATCCAGATTGACAATCTGTGGCCATCCAAATTTGTTGTACAGCAATTCCCATTCTGGATCAGCTCTAATCATGAAGAACTATAACATCACT